CTGTATCACCCTTTTATGGCTAGTATCACACCTATTATGGCTAGTATCACACCTATTATGGCTAGTATCACCACTATTATGGCTAGGATCACCCCCTATTATGGCTAGTATCACCCCTATTATGGCTAGTATCACCCCTATTATGGCTAGTATCACCTCTATTATGGCTAGTATCACCCTTATTATGGCTAGTATCACCACTATTATGGCTAGTATCACCACTATTATGGCTAGGATCACCCCCTATTATGGCTAGTATCACCCCTATTATGGCTAGTATCACCCCTATTATGGCTAGTATCACCCCCTATTATGGCTAGTATCACCTCTATTATGGCTAGTATCAACCCTATTATGGCTAGTATCACCCCTATTAGGGCCTGTATGACCCTTTTATGGCTAGTATCACCCCTATTAGGGCCTCTATCGCCACTATTATGGCTAGGTATCACCCCTATTATGGCTAGTATCACCCTTATTAGGGCCTGTATGACCCTTTTATGGCTAGTATCACCCCTATTAGGGCCTGTATCGCCACTATTATGGCTAGTATCACCCCTACTATGGCTAGTATCACCACTATTATGCCTAGTATCACCACTACTATGGCTAGTATCACCCCTACTATGGCTAGTATCACCCCTATTATGGCTAGTATCACCCCTATTAGGGCCTGTATGACCCTTTTATGGCTAGTATCACCCCTATTAGGGCCTGTATCGCCACTATTATGGCTAGTATCACCCCTACTATGCCTAGTATCACCCATATCTTACCTCGTATCACCCCTTTAAAAAATAATCGTAATCAAATCTTACTACGTGTTTTGATTGGCTATACAGTCACGGCACCCAATCGTACTTGTCATTGTCCCTCACACTAGTAGATCAGGTAACTTTAAACATGCCCTAGGAACCTGTTTTTGTTATCAGGTAACAGTAACTTGTCCTGTAACAGGAGGACTGTTTTGGTTTCTCTGTTGTCACTCGTGGTTGGAAGTCTTGAAAGGTCTTAAAATCTCAAAGAAAGCCTTAAGAAGGTTTCAGGAAGGTCTTAAAAGTCTCAAGGTCTTAAGAAAGTCTTAATTAAGAAGGTCTTAAGAACGTCTTAAGAAGTCTAGCAATACAGGGGAAATGTTCTTCACTGCCTTGGCGAATCCCAAGCAAAATAACAAAAAAATTAACACAAGGTTACATAAACTAATAGCACCACTAAGTAACACATTGTATGCAAAGTAACACACAGTAACACGTATTAATGAAACACAAAGTTGCACAACCACAAAGAGAGCAACACAGAATCAGAAATCTTGACTTAGTTTAATTCAGAATGATCACTTCTCTTCCAAGACGACATGAAAGTAACCCAATAACTTTCCACGTACTCATCAGTAGATCAACACGTAGGAACATATCAACAGATTAACATACGTACATATCAACCGATTAACGTGCACGTATCAGAATAACACCTACATACCAACAGTTAACGAGCCCAAATCTCACAAAATACCACGTGTTTATTAACAAAACTTAAGGGCACACTCACATCTCTCTATCCCAGTACTTCTTGATCGTAAACAATCCTTCCCTTGTGCCAGGGGAGTAAGACAGGATTTATTTTCTTCGAACCTGTATTGGCTCTTCGTTAAACACCTTATTTGCTTAACGCACCTTATTTCGCCTGGAGAAAATACGGTGCGTAAGATGCAAATTTATAAATAAGATGCGAGTGTATCCATATATATTTTCCCCCAGTGTGTATTAATGGGATACATGTCAGTGTGTCTGGTGTGTAGTTTAGCCCATGCTTCGTCTCTCACTTGTTAAAAAGTGATCTGACATTGAATAAATCCACAAGGGCCGTGACGAAGATTAAGGCAGCGTCTGGGATGCTCTCGGACGTAGGTTCGAATCCTCGTCACGGCCCTTGTAGATGTGTTCATTAGATGCATCACGCTATTTTGATTTCTGTGTGTATGTGATCTGACATTAGCCATTTTCTAGCACTGTGTATACATCTATATTTGTATATATATGCATATAACGTATGTATCGCAAAGTCAATACATACGAAAGGATATCGCGACCAATACATGATATTCAGATTATTGCTTTACAAGAGACAGAGTGAATGCACCTAGTGTTTAGGTCCGGTTATTCACTCAAGAATGAAAAAACTCTGTGATTCCAGCTCGGTCTCCAAGGACGACCCACCCACTCCCTCGAGCAAGTTGTAGTCCCCTTCCAGTGTCACATCTCCTCGAGCAAGCTCAACTCCCATCCCAGTATCCCCCATCTTAAGGAAGCTGGAGTCCCACCCCAGCATCACATCCCAAGTCCCACTCCATTGTCCCGTCTCCTCGTTTGCTCCCAAATAGTTTCTCCTCCAGCTGTTCCACCTTCGTCTTTCGGGATCAATTTGCATAATCCAACAAGATAATCCAGTAATACTTAGAGAGTTGTTTGTAAACATTACGTACAGGTATTGAATATCTGGGAGGCTGGGAGGAGTCGCATATATTATACCTAGGTAAAAGATATTCCCCGCCATTGAGCTGGGGGTAAGATTCCCCGCCACTGAGCTGGGGTATTATTCCCCGCCACTGAGCTGGGGTATTATTCCCCGCCATTGAGCTGGGGTAAGATTCCCCGCCACTGAGCTGGGGTAAGATTCCCCGCCATTGAGCTGGGGGTAAGATTCCCCGCCATTGAGCTGGGGGTAAGATTCCCCGCCACTGAGCTGGGGTATTATTCCCCGCCACTGAGCTGGGGTAAGATTCCCCGCCACTGAGCTGGGGTATTATTCCCCGCCACTGAGCTGGGGTATTATTCCCCGCTATTGAGCTGGGGGTAAGATTCCCCGCCACTGAGCTGGGGTATTATTCCCCGCCACTGAGCTGGGGGTAAGATTCCCCACCACTGGGCTGGGGTATTATTCCCCGCCACTGGGCTGGGGTAATATTCCCCACCACTCAATTGTAAGGTAATAACCCCAAACCTGTCTCCTGAAACCCACATCAAAATAATAACATCTGCGGCGTAGGCAAAGCTGGCTAACATCAGAACAGCGTTCAGGAACCTGTGTAAGGAGTCATTCAGAATCTTGTACACCACATATGTAAGACCAATCCTGGAGTATGCGGCCCCAGCATGGAGCCCGTACCTTATCAAGCACAAGACGAAGCTGGAAAAAGTTCAAAGGTATGCCACTAGACTAGTCCCAGAACTAAGAGACATGAGTTACGAGGACAGGCTGCGGGAAAGGTAACTCATGACACTGGAAGATAGAAGAGTAAGGGGAGACATGATCACTACCTACAAAATTCTAAGAGGAATTGACAGGATAAAGATAAACTATTTAACACGGGTAGTATGCGAACAAGGGGACACAGGTGGAAACTGAGTACCTACATGAGCCACTGGGACATTAGAAAGAACTTTTTCAGTGTCAGAGTAGTTAACAAATGGAATGCATTAGGCAGTGATGTGGTGGAGGCTGACTCCATACACAGTTTCAAATGTAAATATGATAGAGCCCAGTAGGCTCAGGAATCTGTACACTAGTTAATTGACAGTTGAGAGGCGGGACCAAAGAACTAGAGCTCGACCCCCACAAGCACAACTAGGTGAGTACCCTCACACACACACACACACACGCACACACACACCACACACACACGCACACCACACACACACACACACACACACACACACCACACACACACGCACACCACACACACACACACGCACACACACACACACACACACACCACACACACACACACACACACACACACACACACACACACACACACACACACACACACACACACACACACACACACACACACACACACACACACACACACACACACACACACCACACACACACACAAATGCAAAATGAACAAAATATCATAGATGAATGCCAGCAGTCATTATACAACAACGAGGTACTTACTGGGAACAGGAAACGCTAATATCCAATTAGAATTAAGCTCTGAGAAATTAACAGTGAACGCGAGCCTACAGTTATCAGTTATTACACACTTATCCCCACATCTATATCAAGGGAAAACCAAACAGAATAATGCCTCTATCTGAGCTCCAACATAGAGCTCCAACACATCCAATAGAGCAGCCTCTGTAAGCTCTAAAGCATCGCAAGAATCGGAAGCTAAATCCCCCCGCCCCCCCCCCCCTCCCACATACTTCCATCGTCGCATCTGTGATGAAATTCCTTGAAAATGGAATGTTAATTAAACAGGAAAGTTTCAAACAAAAAAGAAAGTCAACTTAATTGTGAAAACTATTGCCGAAAACTGGCCTCCGGAGTCGGTATTCCTCTTTAAAGATTAGATTTGCAAAAGTATTTTTTTTCCCTCTGCCAGAGTTGAGCCGGAGTTGAGGATGGAGTAGGAGTGGGAGCAGGAGCATGGATGGAGGAGAGGGAGACTGGAAGTAGATACAGATGAGGAGAAAGGTAGAAGAGAAGAAAATGAGGAAAGTGAAAACCAGAGTGAAACTCTGAAGGAAGTGAGAAACAAAGAAACAACACCTTTTAAGATAGACAGAGAGATTAGGGAGGAAACAAGAGGGTAAACAGAGAGAGATAAAGAGATAAGATGGTGAGAGAAGACTAAGGACGTCAACGTGCCTACAGCAAGGAGCAGTAGGCGAGAATATAAAGTTCTATACTTCCTTCTCAGGCTATTACAGCATTATGACTCCCCTCCAGCGCTTTCAGCATGCACAGTGCTGCCATGTAACCCATCTTAACCGCGACTCATTCTCTGCTACACACAAGTTACACCAAACACGTGTGTGTGCACACACCTGTATGAAGAACAGGAAAACAAAACAAAAATACTGAACATCTGGTGATTCAGTAGATAAACACAGCTGCCGTCACTGATAAGACGCGGTAACATATAAATAGCTTCCAGGAAAATGTGGATAAGAATTTTTTTATCCTCCGATTTACTGACGCTGCCGTGACCACGCTGGCAACTTGCCTCCATCTCAGACAGTCAGCCAGTTCTCTCGTCAGTTAGTTCTCTTACACAATCGTTTGGATCAGACGAGTCCCAGTAAGCCCAAGCAGTCGTCTGAATCACATCAGTCTCAGAAAGCCTTTGCAGTCAAGTGAATCAGACCATGCCTGTGCTGGTCCATGATTCCATCAATAATTTTCGTTTTCACGCAAATTAAGGGGTATTGTTGACTTTGGGAAAATAGGATATTATAATTGACTTGAGAATGGTCCAGGACGGACCGAAACGTCGTCGTCCCTTCACCTTCTAGTGTGTGGTCTGGTCAACAGGATATTATAATTATTGTTGTGTCTTAACTTTTCTCTTAGATAAAGGCCTGTATACTCACCGCATGAAGCGAAACCCATTACATTCACTCAACCAAAAACGCGTATCAGAAAGCAGCATGCAAAGAACTGAGTTAATTTAGTGGCAAAGGAATATAAGCAGACCGACATAATTCTAATATATACCATGTTGACCAGACCACACACTAGAAGTTGAAGGGACGACGACGTTTCGGTCCGTCCTGGACCATTCTCAAGTCGATTGTGACTTGAGAATCGATTGTGTCGATTGTGACACAATAGACTTGAGAATGGTCCAGGACGGACCGAAACGTCGTCGTCCCTTCAACTTCTAGTGTGTGGTCTGGTCAACATACTTCAGCCACGTTATTGTGACTCATCGCCTGAATATATACCATGATAACTTAATATTACGATACAGTGTGCCGATACAGAGATACATTGAGCGTTGTATTTGAGTAGAAATGACACTCGAGGCCCGAGACAGCATTCATCGTGGAGAACTTGAGTACAGTAGACCAATGGTGAGTACCTGAAGAGCAGTTTTCTTCTATATAGTCGTCATGACTAGGCCCTTTCTACTGATAGATCCCTTTCACATTCTCTTTAAATCATTTCGTTTTTTGAGTTATGTATTAAGAGCGGGTTTTGAAATTAAGCCGAAAAATGAATAAACTAAGTCCAAATTTGTTGAAATTACGACCAAATATGTAGTTATTAAGTCCTAATTAAATCCAAGTTCGTCCAAAATCGTTGAAATTAAAACCAAATTTGTTGAAATTAAGTCCAAATACATATTACTTTTTTTGGTCATAAAACGAAGGTTTATTCATAATACACTAAGCAATCGATATAAATAATGTTTGTAATCGATATAAAAAATCACAATATGAAATACTTCACAATAAATTCAGATTTTGTATCAAACATGTAATAATTGCTACTATTATTGTTATTTAAATCCATTTCTCTATAATCTTGGTTAACTACGTGCATCTATCTAGCCTGATACAAAAATAAACGTCAGAACCAATATTCGAAGTCTTTTTTTTTTTTTACTACTTGGATTTTTAAAGCAATTAAGATTCATTCCAGAGAAGGAAGTGTAAGATGAAGATGCTGCACATATGGACGGTGATGGGGATGCTGCTGGCGGCGACAGTGTTGGTGATCAGGCAGCGAGAGGCGGCCCAGCATCCTTCGTCAGGAGCCGGATCCTTGCCGGCCGGTCGGACTGGCCAAGCCAGCACCCGGCCTGAGGAGCAGGGCGACGTCGACTCGGCCGGTGGGAAACCCACCTCGGCCTGTCGTGACGGTGGGGTTGATGGTGTATATATATATAAATATTATATATATATATATATATATATATATATATATATATATATATATATATATATATATATATATTTATTTATATTAAGGAATGGATCTTAATTAAATTCTCAGAGCTGATGTCGAGTTAGCTGCAGTGTCTGAGGAAACTGTTGCTACTTGCAAGACAGTAGTAGGCATCCATCAGTCTCTAGAGATTATGCTTGTTGCGCTCTAATTATCTCTATGAATAATATACCATAAAGCCGTATAGTACGAGTAATGAAGTATCTACCATATCTACCCTCCGAAGGTAGATATGGTAGATTAAAGTCCGCATTTTAAGTTACCTTTGCATTTAGACGACCCTTAGAGGTCCCTTTTATCAGTTGTTAAACTCGAGCAGCACTGATGGCGGTCTTATGTAAACAGCGGTGCGGTCGTGTGTCCGTCAGCGGCTGCGGGAACCGCTAAGCTGGCGGGACGCTCGTCTCATTAAGTTCCTGAAGGAGATGATTGAACCGCCGCCTCGGAAGCCAAGTCGTCTCCGCCCACGACAGCCGCCCTGGCAAGATCGGCCCTCCTTCAACACCAGCGAGGTCCTCCTAAGAACGCTCTTTCAAGGACAGGTATAACTATATGTTAACATGGCTCTTAGAAGGGATTTAAGGACAGACTAATTCTTGGGATATGGGGACGGAGTGTAGGAACAGTCCTCAGTCATTAGGACCATCTGGGATCGAACTCTGGCCCTGCAAATAGTTACACTGTCGCTCTATCGACCACGGTAAGTGGGTTGACCCAACTTTAAGCAGACAAAATAGGAATTACTACATTGAATTAAGAGCCTAAAGCTGAATGTAAATACACAATTTTTAACGTCAACAAATATCTGATGCTATTTATGACTTAAATTGATTATTTACATTTTTTAAGCAAAAACATACTTTAAAAGTTGAAAATTAATAAAAAATAATGTTTTATATGCTTGGCTCTTCATGTTACGTCTGTTACATCACCTAGTTGTACTCACCTAATTGTGCTTGCTTGAGGTTTGGCTCTTTGGTCCCGCCTCTCAACTGTAAATCAAACCGTAAGGGGGGGTTCACACACACACACACACACACACACACACACACACACACACACACACATAGTAGGCTCATAGAAATCTGTACACCAGTTAACTGACAATTGAGAGGCGGGGACCAAAGAGCCAAAGCTCAACCCCCGCAAGCACAAATAGCTGAGTACACTATGTAGCTTAAAAAAAATTATATTAGACATAACAGAAGAAACACAGACTGGTTAGAAAGGTCCAGGGAAGGTCCAAGAGCTAATAACTCGAGACTTTGCAGACACAAAGAGTAAAAAACACACACCCACACACACACTTTGTATACAGAAGAGCGGTGTGTTTGTGGAGGTGGGCGCCCAGGACGGCTTGTGGCTGAGTAACACCTGGTGGCTGGAGGCGACGCAGGGGTGGCGGGGTCTCCTAGTAGAGGCTGACCCCATCAACTACGGTCAACTGCGCGCCTCCCCCCGCGCCTCCAGCACTCTCCCCGTCTGCGTCTCCGTCGACCCCTACGCCTCCTCGGTAGGTAGTGGGGAGGGAGAGAGAGAGAGGGAGAGAGACAGAGAGGGAGAGAGAAAGAGAGGGAGAGAGAAAGAGAGGGAGAGAGAAAGAGAGGGAGAGAGAAAGAGAGGGAGAGAGAAAGAGAGGGATAGAGAAAGAGAGGGAGAGAGACAGAGAGGGAGATAGAGAGGGAGAGAGAAAGAGAGGGAGAGAGAAAGAGAGGGATAGAGAAAGAGAGGGAGAGAGACAGAGAGGGAGAGACAGAGGGAGAGAGACAGAGACAGAGAGAGAGAGAAAGAGAGAGAGACAGAGAGAGAGAGAGAAAGAGAAAAAAAAGAGAGAGTATCCAGTAGCGAGTTAAATAATGTATTCACTAAGGTGCATGGAGCCCTGGCTGTCTGGGTTCGAATCCTTCAGGGGGGTGAGGAAGGGAAGGGAATTGTCAGGGGAAAGCGCCAAGCCATTACGACAATATAGCCCCTGGAAGGATGGGGGGGGGGTCAGGATATGGATTTATTGCATTTTATTTTTAAATTAAATTTTTTTTTTAGGGTAATCTAGTCTGCAGGTGCGTGTAGTACACTGCTGTTGTCCTAAACACGCTGTTAATTCTGTATTCTTGTTATACAGAAACAAGAATACAATACAGTGCTGATGGGTGTATAACAAGTTAGAAGTAAATACTTTAACGGAGCCAAGTATAGTTTGTCGTGTGTAATTCAGAATACCCCAACAGAGGCATGGATTAGCTCGAAAGTACGTCTACTTCTTAATATAATTGAGTTTAAATTTAATTATAAATTAAAACTTAATCTTTAAGTTTAAGGCATCAGTAATCCACAGACTTCATGTAGCAAAGTCTGTAAATTGGTTCTTTGTTTACTAAACCACTGACCCTCCACACTGCATGGATTTCTCCCACCTCTCCCCCGTGGCATCTTCTCCCACAGCAACAGCTGGTACGTACCCGCGCTCCCAGCAACTTTACAAGAAGCTTGCTTAAGGCACAACAAGGTCGCTCACAACTGGTCAAGTACGCTTCTGCATCGGTAAGTGTAATGGAAGTCAGATGTTATACGTGAGGATGAAAATTATAGGAGTCAGTGGGCATTATAGGAATACTGTGTGTAGGTCCAAGCTTGCATGGTTCCAAATGGGTTTTTTTCTGTGTTAAAATGAAAAGTATTTTTTGCCTTCTAGTGTGTTGCCCGATCATGTCTGAATGGTTTATAAAATGTTGTATGAGAGAGTCTTTCAAAATATTGAATATGAGTCCTTCAAAATATTGAATGTGAGAGTCCTTCAAAATATTGAATACGAGTCCTTCCAAATATTGAATATGAGTTCTTCAAAATATTGAATATGAGTCCTTCAAAATATTGAATATGAGTCCTTCAAAATTTTGAACATGAGTCCTTCAAAATATTGAATACGAGTCCTTCAAAATATTGAATGTGAGAGTCCTACAAAATATTGAATATGAGTCCTTCAAAATATTGAATGTGAAAGTCCTTCAAAATATTGAATATGAGTCCTTCAAAATATTGAATGTGAAAGTCCTTCAAAATATTGAATATGAGTCCTTCAAAATATTGAATGTGAAAGTCCTTCAAAATATTGAATGAGAGAGAGACCTTCCACATATTGTATATGAGAGGTCTTATAAATATAAAATTTCTGGAAGTTCGTGTTGGAAAGACTTACGAGTTCACAATTAACATATCTCAACCTAACCTTTAGACTTATCTCAACACTGTCTATAAGACTTCTAGTTCCTTTCTGAACATGAACATGTTGTTCTCCACGAATGAACACGGTATAGGTGTTAAATAAGGCGTTCCTTTGTATTTCTCGTGGGTTTTTCTGAAGACCAACATCAGTCTTGATTGTTGAATTGTCTTAGGCGTATGTCAGCCGTAAATCAGCTATCTCAGCCTTGTTCCAGCCTTATATGTCACCCTTTGATCAGTCTTCCCCACAGCCTTATTAACCAGCCCTTTTCTGTCTCTTGTGTCCTAACAGTATCTGACGTTTAACTCATGCTCAGGGTTTCTGCCTCTCTCTCCTTGACAGGATCTGCTCGCAGGAGAGATTTGGAACACAACCTGTTATCCTCTCCTCTCAGTGCTGAAAGCTGCTGGCTACACTCAGGTGAGAGAGAGAGAGAGAGAGAGAGAGAGAGAGAGAGAGAGAGAGAGAGAGAGAGAGAGAGAGAGATAAAGTGTGTATATGTGTGTGTGTGTGTGTGTGTGTGTGTGTGTGAATCAGTTCGTGACCTGCATAAATTTGTTAGATTTTGTTAATACAAACTTAAAAATATCCTAATGTTTACTAAGCACGGAGCTTAGCTTAAACATTTTTTTGTTTTTTTTTTTTGCATTTTTTTAACCCGAAGCTTGGTTTAAATATTATAGAAATCTAATTTTTTTTTTGGCGTAATTTGGAACTCATAATTTAGTTCATAAATTACCATAAACTTCAAATATTTTATAGAATAACGTAATTACTTGTTTACAATGCAAATTTAAACATCCAACACATGATATTTCGCTGAATGACCCTCCAGCCAATAAGCAAAGGCTCACACAGTCAATTATTAAACTTATCTTAAGGTAAGCTAATGCTGTATATAGCCTGGACCAAATAACACCTCCCACAGATTGACCTCCTAACCTTTGACCTCTCCGGTGGAGGCATGGAGATGACCACAGGATTCCTGGCCCTAAACAAGGCACTTGGATACCCCTTCCACGTCAAGGTCGGCCTAGGAAAGTCATTCATTTTCGTTCTCTAATTTCCGTATTTGTTGCTTTTGTTTACTTTTATTGACTTTTGTTTCACGTTTGTTTGTTTTTGTTTTCATTAAGTTTGTTGACATTATAATGAGTAATAATTCAGCCCGTTTTCAAGATTTTACAATCGTCTGAATTTAGAAAAAAAACACCTGTTTTAAGACCAGGAGTTTTAGAAAGCATTCAAACTAAGTTGCTTCATATCTCCTAAAACTGTCTGAGTTAGAGAGATGGCCTAAAATCACCTCATTTGTAAATGCATTATATTTGTATTCTATTATTTTGCTATTTTTTTTATTAAAACACACACACACACATATTAGAGATATTAGAAAGAACTTTTTCAGTGTCAGAGTGGTTGACAAATGGAATGCATTAGTAAGTGAAGTGGTGGAGGCTGACTCCATACACAGCTTCAAGTGTAGATATGATAGAGACCAATAGGCGCAGGAACCTTTACACCAGTTGATTGATGGTTGAGAGGCGGGACCAAAGAGCCACAGCTCATCCCCCGCAAGCACAATTAGGTGAGTACACATGACAAGGTGGGGGGAATGATATTGGTTTATAAAATACTTAGAGGGAGTGCAAGGTGGAAACGGGAATTGTTTAAAATAAATATGAATAACACAAGGGTGACGGATGGAAGCTTGAGACTTAGATGTGTCATAGAGATGTTATAAAGTTTTCTTTCAAGTGTAAGAGTAGTGAGTAAATGGAATGACTATAAGGAGCATATTCGAGAGGATAACTGCAAGCATAACTTTAAAAACCTGTATGAGAGAGTTAAATAGGCCAGCAATAGGTCATTGCTGTAGACCACCAACGGCTTGAAAAGCGGGGATCCAAGAGCTAAAGCTCGATCATATAGACACAAGTAGACGAGTTTACACACACACACACACACACACACACACACACACACACACACACACACACACACACACACACACACACACACACACACACACGCACACATGAATTGGGTTATTCACCTCACTGTTATTCATGTCTCATAAAAGATATACTTTGCATCATCTCCAGCTGTTGCTGTACCAGGATAACCAGTTGGAGCAGTTCTTCGATATCGATGAAGTCAAGAACACCTACACGAACCTTGGCTATCACACCATGAAGATTACAGGGTCCCATTACTTCCTTTATCACCAGTCAATCAACATTGTATTTGTCTGAAACATGTTCCTTCTCTCTCTCTCTCTCTCTCTCTCTCTCTCTCTCTCTCTCTCTCTCTCTCTCTCTCTCTCTCTCTCTCTCTCTCTCTCTCTCCCTCTCTCTCTTCTCCCTTTCTCTCTTCTCCCTCTCTCTCTCATTCGTCCCCAACATCTCTTTGTTAAGTTAAATGTGAAAGTAGAGGTTCTGGAGCACACTGAATTCTCTCTCTGTAAAATGTACACAAATCTAACCCGTGAAAGTCGCATTTGCCGAAACGTTAAATTGAGGTGAAATTCAGTGAAATGTGTCCGGGTCGTGCAATGAAATTGTTAACATTTTACATGTATAGTTCTCTAAATTCTTGTTATTTAATCTAAGTTTATAGAGTTTATGAGGAACTGATTACAAGAATTTGTCCTTAGATTGAGTTCACGTGTAATGCATATATAAAAGGGATATAAAATAAATGTTTATATAATTTTTCTTGTCGCATAGTGTGTGTGTGTTTGTGTCACTCTGGATTATATATCACAGTAATTTAGACAATAAAATTATACCCATAGGAATTATACGTATAATTTAACACATAAATGTAAACCTAAGGCAGATTCATAATTCGAATCGCAACAACGAGATGTATCAATGATAGAAAACCGAGGCCATTAAATTGGATCAAACCTGCGTCCATAGACGTAGAATAACGAAAAATAACCCAAAGCACTTTCAGGTATTAACACCTCGTCAAGGAATACACTACGGGAATACAGAGTAATACAAGAAGATACAAGAGGGTATGACAGAACTGATGTTGTTAATTAAATGGTATATTCTTACAAAGCCACGACCAAATATATCATTTTAAAGCCATTAAATTCCTTACCACTATAAAATCGCTCTATAAGAACACCCTTTGTCAATACCTACACGTTCAACACCCTATATAGGCTGTTGAACGTGGGCCGGCAGGCAGGCAGGCAGCTGGAGTGTGTCATACTTTCTATTGAACTTTGTCTCTGTCAACCAGAAAGTTCAACTCCAAGTTCGCTATAGTTTGCTGAACTCTCAGGTGGGACACCGAGTCGGACGTAGCTGGTATTTCGGACGCGTTTTTTTTCCTCTCCCTCTCTCTCTCTCTGCCTCTGAGTGTGAAGGGCGAGTGAATGTGATCAGGAAGGAAGGTTAAATGTCTCGTTCTGAACACATCTGCCTCGTTCATTATTAATGATTAATTTTTTTTATTAATATTAACTGTCTTTATTAATGTTTATTGTTTTTATAATACGTATTACTGATTTATATTCTCTCTCTCTCTCTATTATATATATATATATATATATATATATATATATATATATGTCGTACCTAGTAGCCAGAACTCACTTCTCAGCCTACTATGCAAGCCCGATTTGCCTAATAAGCCAAGTTTTCCTGAATATATATTTTTTCTTATATATATATATATATATATATATATATATATATATATAACCCTACCTAACCTACTTTATATATATATATATTATATACTACTTATTTTAGTAGTATTTAAAACATTTTTAACACAATTATTCATTATTTAATAAAATGATGTATTATTAAAATTAAATTGTATAATGATTTATTATTTTTAACAATTAATTGACTCAATTACTTACTATCTAATAAAATGATTTAATAAAATATTCAATTAATTAATAAAAACAGTTTTAGATAAACTCACAGCGTTCACTTTGTACTTTGTATCACAGCCATTTCATAACTATTAATCTTCCGTCATCATTATCACTTTATCTCTGATTTTGTTGTGGGAGAAAATGGTTGAATGGAGAGAACACATAATTCGGATATCACAGTAAGAATCATATCTTCTTAAAGATAAGAAATCATTAGGAAGTGTAGGGTTCTAATTAGATTTTACTTTTCTATGTTTGTGGAGGATAAAATAAGAAGGAAATCTGGGTTGTTTGATCATTAATGTTGTTCTCTTACAAATATTTGTTTGAAATCTGGATGCTGTTTTTCAAGTTATTTAACTGATGGCTCCCATTCATAACACAATTTGGTGAACCCGTTTATTAAAAGGTCTGGTGGATCAATTTTTTGTGAGAATTATCCCATTCTGAGATTCCATATTTAAAAGATTTAACTCTTAGAAAATAGTCTGTACAATCGCTACTTAATAAGGTAAAACCATTTTATGCTGCACAGAGACAGCATAACATCACTCAAGTGAGGAAGCACCGGCGATTTGTCCGCATACTGTAAGCTCCTGACTATTCTTAAATTTTACAGGTTCAAGAATATCAAAACTTTTAAAATATAACCAATTTTTTCCCCCCTTTCATCATTTACAGTATTAGGTAAGGAGTCAGGAACAGGGTGAGAGAATATATCTCTATATTCCAAGGAGTATCTTGTTTTTAATTATGACACTTAAACTCGGAATCCAGAAACAAAAGAGAGGTTTCTATACTGAACTTTCGTTCCAGAATGCAGGCGATGAGTCACAATAACGTGGCTAAAGTAAAGTTGACCAGACCACACACTAGAAGGTGAAGGGACGACGACATTTCGGTCCGTCCTGGACCATTCTCAAGTCGATTGTGAAATTTCGTTCCAGAATCATTCGCTGTACCTTCACACCCTCAGGAAAGATATACTTCATGTTGAACGGTATGGGGACCTTGGGTGCTCCTTGAAGACCTTGGGTGCTCCTTGAAGACCTTGGGTGCTCCTTGAAGACCTTGGGTGCTCCTTGAAGACCTTGGGTGCTCCTTGAAGACCTTGGGTGCTCCTTGAAGACCTTGGGTGCTCCTTGAAGACCCTGGGTGCTCCTTGAAGACCCTGGGTGCTCCTTGAAGACCCTGGGTGCTCCTTGAAGACCCTGGGTGCTCCTTGAAGACCCTGGGTGCTCCTTGAACACCTTGGGTGCTCCTTGAAGACCTTGGGTGCTCCTTGAAGACCCTGGGTGCTCCTTGAAGACCTTGGGTGCTCCTTGAAGACCCTGGGTGCTCCTTGAAGACATTGGGTGCTCCTTGAAGACCCTGGGTGCTCCTTGAAGACCTTGGGTGCTCCTTGAAGACCCTGGGTGCTCCTTGAAGACCCTGGGTGCTCCTTGAAGACCTTGGGTGCTCCTTGAAGATATGTCTTGGGTGTTAAGAACTTCTCTCTAAGAAATTTGAAAGAATTCATCAATACACAGATTTTCTCGAATGCATGGTGGATATGAACACCTTCAATTTGAAATTCTGTCTTTATTTTTAGTTACAAAAGGTAGAATACATCTTAGAAACTGAAAATTATTCTTGTAAATTGGCTTCGTCAATGCTGTTTGAATTACTATGTTCAAGTTTTACATGATCTTCCAAGACAACACGCTGAACATATAGAACAAGACCATTTCATGTTTCTAATATCCTGTTCATCAAATTTCGTTTCGGTGCAGATCAAATGTAAAGCTTCTGAGCAAAATGTGGCGAAATGTAGAACCACAGTACCGTTTGGTTCGAAGTGTTCGGTTTTGGTACAATTGAATCGTAGGTGGTAACACTGTACCCTTACAGCTGATATTTCGTCGTTTTCAGAAACTTGTTTCTTATTTGTGAGAGATTTGTCTCTTATTTGTGAGGTTCTTGTCGTGTATTTGTTTCACACTTGTCAGAAACCTGTCTCTTATAGGTGCCGTCGTTTGAGAGACGTCTCGTTCGAATTTAAATTAATATCACCTTCAAATATCTTTACTTCATTGCAAAAATGATCTTGATTGCAAAAACAATACAAAATGTGAACAGTTTGATTGCAAAAAGCAAAAAGTATTGCCAACATTTATTCCACAAGACGCTCATGTTTTCAAATAATACATTTTGGAAAATGTTCGCTGGAGTTTTGCTAAATACAACACAGCACCGCGGAATGATCGCATAGCTTCTTCCCATCATTACATTCCCTCTACAAAATATCGAAAAACATTTTCTTATTTTCGCACAGGAAGCTGCGTACCTCCTTTACTGACCGTGGTATTAATATCTTTGTGACTTCTCTCTCTCTCCTGATGTTACCTTATTCGACATAAGATTTTTTGTCATTAATTTCGTCTTTGTGTGTGTTATTGTGCTGATATGTAACTTTCTGGCAACAGGAGCTTGAGAGAGAGAGAGAGAGAGAGAGAGAGAGAGAGAGAGAGAGAGAGAGAGAGAGAGAGAGAGAGAGAGAGAGAGAGAGAGAGAGAGAGAGAGAGAGACGGAGACAGACATGGAAAGAGAGAGAGAGACAGAGGAGGAGGATCCAGACAGTTATCAAGCGAACCAAACACTGATGGGCAGGATATTAAATCAGATACGACTCCCACTGCAAAAGTCCTATATGGTACACTGAGAACGTGTAAATGGGGGACATATATTTATTTTTCAATTTCAGAAAACTACAAATTCAAAATTCGAAAAAGATTCGCTAAACTAAAGCTTCAATATCCTCCACAAATACATGTTCTGATTTGTTCAAAATCTGTCAAATTAAATTAGAGTTATTGCTGGATATTTCCCAATATCAAAGCTCACACAAGATATTGCCTGAAGCAATCGTGATGGACAATGAAAATGTATTGCTTAGCTCAAGAAAAATATGAGTCAATATATCACTGAAACTATAAATGGATACGACTCTACGAGGCTGGAAGCCAGATGCTTGGGGCTAGCTTCACCCAATTATTCCCAGTGACTGATGCTGGGTAGGTGCCAAACACAGGCGGGATGAGACTGGCACAAGACAAAACCCAATGAGACACATTCCCCATCGTCACACCCCCTTCACAAAAATCTCTCATTATCATTTGACTCGGTTCTAAATTATTATTATTATTATTTAGCTATATAAACTCTATACACTGATCACGCCAAAATTTAAAAAATCTATTATATTAACTTTTAAACACCCATAATTTTGATGGTACAGCTTGTTCCATATATAATTTTGAGTACAGCTTGTTCCATATATAATTTTGAGTACAGCTTGTTCCATATATATAGGATTGAGTGCTAATGAGCTGTGTGCAAAATCTGAATAAAATCTAGAATAGATTAGCGTTATAATAGGAGTAGGAGAGTAATAATATAATATACTTTCATATTAAAATTTCTCTCCGGCATCTATGGTCAGCACGTCATGATCTCTTTAAACAAGTATTAGTCCATTAAAATAAATGGAAACTTTCCTTATTACGACTTCTCAATAGCTCGGTCGATAGAGCTTCGGTCTCACACACTTGGGGTTCACGGTTCGAGTCTCCGAGAGCCCTGGAGAATAGAATATTAGTTCACTGAGGGAAGGCAGAAAATTTTTCGTTTATCAAGCAGAAATATTATGAAAATTAAGAAATATTATAATATAAATATTTTAAGTCATTAAAATTTTTGTAGTTTATTAAGCTGAAAATCTGAATATATCTTCAAATATAATGGGCTATTTCGTTATCCTTGAATGTAATATGCTATCTTGTTTGTGTGGTGCTCGGCTGAACGACGCATGTGGTGATGTTTTTCATGTGGTGGCTGATGTATGTGGTGGTTGTTGTATGTGGTGGCTGATGTATTGTGTCATACGTGGTGTTTGTGGATGTCAAGGTGCGTGTTTGTGATGACTGTGCGTATGTTTTATGTGACACTGTACGTGACTGTGTGTGTGTGTGTGTGTGTGTGTGTGTGTGTGTGTGTGTGTGTGTGTGTGTGTGTGTGTGTGTGTGTGTGTCACGTCATGTCTAATGGTGGTTTGTTTCGTTTGCCGCGTTGTTTGCTGTGCATGTTGTGTTTCGTGTGTGTGTGTGTATGTGTGTTTTTAATGTTGAATTACGTATGTATTTTATGTTATATACGTCGCGTTTCGTATGTGTATACTGAGTCCCTCCAGGAACTATAAGTGATAACACAAACCTTTACTATGAACGCACTTTTCGTTAGTTTGTTTCTATCAAGTAACGATATGAGGTTGGAAGACGGTACATGTCCCATGTTGGACATCTACCCACCAGTAATTACTGTTAATATTTGGGTACGGACTATAAACTTAAAAAGGGGTCACAAGGGTAATGAATTTATACACCGTAAGGGCGAACTATAAACTTTATTGCGATACTTTTAGCTCTTAAACCACGTTCACTGCGCCAGGAATATGATCGCCATGAGCAGGAAATTCAAAACTCAAAATCTAAAAA